GAATGGAACTGATGGAAGGGAAAATTCAGGCCTATGATCAAGAAATATTTCTTAACTGTGAGGTCTATTAGTCTGTGAAATAATCTCCTGGGGGAGTAATTGTAGTAGTAATACTTAGCACTCATTCAGCGCTTTACATTTTCAAAGCACTGTACAAAAACTAGGCAATATAATTAAAGACAGTAGAAGAAGCACCAAGAACTGTGTAATTTTAAATGCTGCACTGGTCAATGCACTAGGCAACATCCTAGAAAAAGTAAATCTGCACTGACTTTGACTGACAACTAAGATTGTTTTTTCCTTCACACTAGCATCTCCAAATAAATTTTACCTCCAAGAAGTACAATAGAATATCAACTGTTGTTTAAAAAAGGAAAGAAAAAAATAAAACAGCAATCAGCAAATAAATATGCTTCCAAGGAATAAATTTAATTTTTTTTGTCCCCCTGAAATTTTAATTCAACACATTCCCTTATGCTGTTTTGCAAACTCCCAAATTTAAGGACTTGTCAGCTGATTTCTAGGGAAGAATGTGCTACTAGGGATTTTTTTCCACACTAACTCACACTGATTTGCTTTTCAAAAAACACCACATGGGGTATTTGAAAGGAACTCTTGCATTTTATTGTGTTCTCCGTCATTAGGTAAATATGTATTTATAAGAGGGATGGCAGAATGCTAACGACATCCTATACCTGTAAGAACAAACAAAGGGGGTTAGGAACTGTCATAATTACAACTTCGTGCACGACTGTGATACAACTCCTTTGTTGCAGATGAATTATGAGACAGCCTTTTGCCTCAGCACTCTTGCCTCTGGAGCACACAGGTCAAAACAGTTTGGGGGAGGGAGAGCCATGCTTGTAAACAGCTTTGCAGGTGGAGCCCCTCCTTCATTTGTTACAGAGGCTGGAAGTTGTGCACTTAATGAGGTAGAACGTTTCAAGAAAGGGAAAGATGACCTCAAGATTAATACAGCTGAGTGGTCAATTTTAGGCCCAAACAAAGCTCAGTCCAGCCCCAGCAAAGTTTTCCAAATTAGCCATGTCACTTCTGCCAGATTTCTTGTGTTACATGTTTCTTTTGTTTTTGCAGCATTTTCACAGGGACCCTAACATGATGTTCCTTCACTTCCTTGCCTAGAAATACAAAGAAAGTCATGAACATATGTAACAAGTAATGTTCTTTAAAAATTATTCAATCCTAACTGGGTACCCCAAATAAACAGCTATATATATCTGATGTGTCTTTCTGCCTCTGTCATCTCTCTTAACATGAGGGTTGATTCCATATCCATTCACATGCCAACACAAGGTATTTATTGTTTCTGAGGCCTTAGGAATTAAAGGGATGAGCAACTCAGGGAGCAAGATGTGGAGGCTAGTAATTCTGCATGGATAGTTCATTCCTTAAGTGATGTGACTAGCATCTTGGAAGAAAACTCTGGAAATGACAGGGAGAGATGCAAAATTTTTTAAGGTCCATTCAAGTGTATTAATCATGAGGTCATCCTGAACTGTAACAGTGAGAACAGCCCCGCTAATGCCTGTAGCCTGCTCAGGACAGAATCTATCTAGATTTCAACAGATAAATTCCTGGCAATCAATAATAGGTATATGCAAGCAACAATCCCTCCTGTACTTCCCTCTTAACACCACTGTGCAACAAATTTCACAGTTCCCAAAGACATGTTCACAGAAGAGCTTTACAACCAAAATAACTATTTCAGTTGGGTAAAATAAAATATGATATTTAAACCTAACAACTCAAAATGTCATTTTAAAACTGGAGTTTTAGAAGTAATTGGTACATGCACAGCTAGGGTAATAACTTAGTATATTTGAAAATACACTACATTGCATAGGGAGGATCAAGTCTGCAAAGATCCTGCTTAAAAATAAAGCCTAGAGCAGATGATGTATCTCAGGTTTGGCCTTTTTGTATACCTGAATACATGAACTGAATTCTAGAAGTGCTAACAGTACATGAATGCCCACTATTAGCCCTTGTAAACACAGGTCCTGGGAAGTCTTCTGGAGTATATTAATTAATGATGCAAAATCTCAAGACTCTTTGTCTTTGGCTGCATCTCTGTGCTTAGAGCTGCTAGATACAGCAACAAGTACTAAATACATCTGACTGGCAGCCATGAAAAATGAATCTGTGGCAGAAGATAAGGTTTGATTGATTGAACATGTATGATGCACTGTGACTCCTGGAAGTGTGGATGGGTAAGGAAGAGCTGCTACTCTGTTGACATTTTTCTTTTTCCATTATCTCAAACATTCCGCAGTAGAAATAGCATACCTGCAATTACAATTACAACTAATTGATCTGCCATTTCCCATGTCATAATTAATGTCATGTTTTAATAGAGTTATAATCATTCTATAATAATGCTTTTCATTCACCAGCTTCCCACAAAGTATGAAAGTATAGAGCACAAAAGCAATGAACTTTTATGAGGCTCTTTCAAAAACATCCCAAAAGGAACATCTCAGTGTATTACAATGAACTTTTTAAGTATGTTTCTATATTCTTATCTGAGCTGCAATAAAACACAATGCAAAAAAGACTTCACTCTGACATTCCTCCTTCCCTGAACATCCATAGGTGAAAAATGAAATCAATGATTCAGTGACAAATACATTATGTTTCCTAAGGGGTTATTTAATGTACTCTTAGCAAGGGTGGAAAATGATGGTTTCTAGAGAACAGATGGTAACAAGACAAAATATCAACAGACCACAGTTGTTGACTGCAATTTATGGAGTGTACAGATGTGTCAACTTAAATGCAGTGATTCTGAGGCCAATAAAAATACTTCCTGATACCAGCAGATTAATTTTTCATGACCACTGGTTACACAGCTTTTACATTTTTAAAAACTAATTATTCATCTACAAAAGAAACAACAATTTTGCTTGAAAGTCATTACTATAAAGTGGAATGTTGTTGCTGGCTCAAAAAAACCCACCCAATGCATAACAAGACTGAATACAAGTTTGCACATCTTCCTTTCAGAATAAAATTTCCTGCTTTTGTCAATAAAAAATATTCCAAAGAAAGATGAATGCCAGTAGCTAACTCAGATTTAAAGGAATAGTATGCAATAAGGAGATCCCAGTTCCTAGGCAAATACAAAGCACGTTTACAAATGCACCTTTTTTCAGCCTTTAATTTAGTATGATGAATAACAGTTCTTGTGAAGGTTGCAAGGGGCTGGCAGTGCCTGAAGCTGCAGCCCAGTCCCCCCTTTACTATCCAGTGCCACATTGACCATGCAGGCAGTCTCTCCCATGGTGTTCTGTAATACCCAACTACCAAAGCCACATATCTCAGAACCTCCAATGAATGGGTTGATGTCTAGATCTGATCCTTGTAATCTGAACTGATTTTCACCTTGTCTTATATTTCAACTTGGAGAAATATTTCACCCCTGGTTCCCTCCCTGTATTGGCCTAACTCAAATTTAGCTAAGGACTGCTTCTTTGCTTGTCAAGAATTGGAAAGGAAAGCAGCTCTACTTTCCAAATTCCCCTGTTCTAACATAGAGATTAATTCTGAAACAATCATTTTACATTAATGATACCACAAAACACCCCACTAAACAGACAATATTAAGTTAGCTACAAAAAAAGACAATTAAAAAAAGTTCTCCACCGTATCACATTGCAAGATAGTTTGTCATGGCTAAATTTTCAAAGGAGATGCTCAACTCAGCTGCCATGTAGCCTTTGGGAAATAAATTGCAAAAGCATCTAGCTGAAGACTGAAACAGCAGGGAAGCCCTGCAGGTACTGCAGCACCCAGAAGAATAGAGAGTAAAACTGAACTCAGATGGGGCCACCCACTCCCTCTGTCCAACTCAGCATGCACTTGTACAAAACAATGTACCCTCCTCCGGAAGCACAGTAAGGACTCACTGAAGTCCCTCCCTTTCAACAGTGCAGCATGCACGAAGCAGGACAGAGGCAGAGACTGAAGAGGAGCTGCAGAATTCACTTACACTGAAACTGTAAAACATATTTTGATTGCATTTTGTTGTCTCCATACTGATCAATTGTTTACCCCACCTAGCCCACTCCATGCTGGTTTTATCTTCCCTTCTCTCCATAGCATCCTTGCAGCTTCCTTATTACTTGGTACTCATTAGTAAACTCCTTCTTTGCTTCCCTACTTCCCTCTCTCTTTTCCCAACTATAATATATAAATACTACGTTTAAACTGTGGCAAACATTTACAATGTTATTCCCTTGATTTATGTTTTTATCCTTTTTACCTCCTATCTCTCCTATTTTGACCAGAAGCTACTAAGAGCAAGCTCTGCCACCACCTCCTCTGTTTTGTATTGTCTGTAGAGCATATAAGGCTCCTTTCCAGTTGCCCTATAAGCACAATCATAATAAACATTATTAATAGCAACAGCGTATTCTCTACATCAGCAACCTGGCATCACAGATTATGTACTTCCAACAAACACAGCAGTATGCACAAACTGAGAAGCTGATACCAATTTGGCTGATTCTTCTCCCTCATTGGTTTTATAGCTGTATAAACCCCACTTCAGCGGAGTTACTCCTGATTTAAAGTAGTGCAAGCAAGAGGAGAAAGAGTCCTCTATTGCTGGCAGACAAATGAAAGAGCTCATAAAACGGAGCACACAAATTCAGAGGTCACAGATGAGATAGTACAAAACAAGCCCCTTCTTAAGCAAAGGTCAATTTTGCACCCATGATTTTTTTTCTTCTCCAGCTTCTTTAACCTGTGCTTTTTCTGGACAGAGAGTTCTGGAAAATGAATCCTCTACAGAGCAAGCAACAGTGGCACAAGTCACACCATACTATGTAAGGTTACTACTTTGTAAGCTATCTCAGATATACATTACTTAGGGAGACTCGGAAGCCAAAAGAGCAAGTTTCAATTCATACCATCAAAACATCAGTAACACTGGCTTGGTATTACTTTACTACGCAGAACTGAAAAAGCATCTCACCTACCTGAATCATATGCAAAATCTCTAGGTTCCTGTTTAATCATCAGAGGAGGGGGAAAATTCTGACTGGCTGCACTGCCAACCATAGCGTTGTGTTCATAAACTGGATCATGATACTCCTGCTTAAAACCTTGAGGCGGGAAAGGGATGTTTGGCTCAGACATCTGGCGCTGATATATTGGACGTCCTTCCCTTGGCATTGCAGGCAAAGGTGGGAAAGAATTGCAAGGTTCGGAGAGCTGGCGGCGAAATCTAGGATACAAGTTAGAGAGGTCATGTAAAAGACTTGAGCTACCTTCCACTTCCCAAAGATCGTCACACATCATGATTAGTGGCTGTATCACTTTCTCAGCAGCAAACATTTTGCTTATGATCATGCCAAGTGCTCCCATCAGGATCACTTGTACTGTAGAACTGCAACAAGGAAAAAAACAGAAAACTTCATCTATTAAATTAATATCAGCTCCAAGACCCAACCCCCCAACATCCTCTCTGCTCTCAATACCTTCTCTGAACAGAAGAGACAAACAGGAAATGCACCAGCTTCAAACCAGTATAAAGAGTGACATCCTACCACAGTGACAGGGAGGAGGCTTAGGTAGAGTTCACTGTGCTTTCTTATTAGTGACATATTGCTCGTACTCTTAATTTACTCTGACCATTCCTACTGTTATACGGAAATCAGTCTGACCACAATAAACACAAACATTCTGAATAAAGAGCATTGTCTGTCATAACATCTGGAATCATTCCAGGGTAAAAGTCCACAGATCTGTCCTCTCCAAAACAGTGCTGTGGGAGACCTACCTGTAAGGCTGGCGCTGCATTCTAGCTCACTCCCTTTTAATGGGAAGGGAACCTAAGCATCACAGAAAACAGGCAGCGTTCAAATTTTTGCTAAGAGGAACAATGTCCCCTCCTGCCTTAACTGTTCCCTTGGTCATTTCTAAATGAAAGTCATCCATACAAGCCATGCTGCCATTCACTACTTCCAAATGCTCTTCAGTAGGTCTAAAATCTGAGAATTCCATTCTAAATTAACTTCATTTACACGAAACTTTACTCAAGAACCTATGCTTGTTGTTTCTTCCATAAAACATTTTTATCTGAACTAAAAGGCCTGAATGTAATCACTTGGACAGCCACAGGTTCAGAAGCAGAGAAGAATACAAGGATGGTATTTCTCCACTGTGCCCTGATGAACTGCACAAAGCCTTCCTGTTAGTTCCTGCAGATTACCACAATAGTGGTAACCACCACTGCAGTAATATTTTGTCTGAACTAATCCACAGAACATACAACGCCCTTGCAACAAACACTTAATAGTCCTGTTACCATTCATCATGAACAAGACATAGTTTAAAAAAAAAAAAAAAACAAAAAAAAAAAACACAACAAAAAAAACCAGAAGAAAAATGTGCCTTTTTCTGCAAGTTTCTCACTGTCATACTAAAAAATAAATAAATTTTAAAATCAAGAACTAATCATTCTTCATCTTACTGTACTCTGGATTTGAACCAACTTTGGTTCACATAAGCAAAAGCAGACAGTCTTTTGGAGGAAACTGTGCGAGTGAAGAAGAATGCAGTGGTTTGATTGCACAGACAATGCAATCCTTGGCTATCAACTCATATGTAGTAGGTGTTTCTGAAATAATTTAGACTCCACTAACATCTGTCATAATACTGCTGTGAACTCGACCTGAAAATATTTACTGTCATAGCTTTCTTATAAATGGTGTCAGAGCTACAGAGACAGAAACTATTACCATGTCGTAGTGGAGGCAAAATTATTTTTTTAATGCTGCTGTAAATATTATATTTTGCAGTAGAAAGAGTACTGCACTGTAACATTGAGTTTTGCAATTCCACCTACACCTGCAGAAAATAAACTTAGAAACTCAAATGTATTATGAAACAGTTAGGCTGACTGGCAGTGCATTCATTTCCCTCTTTTCCTTTTTTCATTAGCCAAAAAAAGAAGCAGAAATTATCATTAAGAACTGTCAAGGAGTGAATCAGAAAATTGCAACTTGAAGTTAAAATAAGAAACAGGCTCACTCACAAAGCCTCAAAGGAAGTTAATAATACTTGTTGTACTGGAAGCTTTGTATGGAATCAAGCCATTTGTTCATACAAGTGGATTGGATTCCTGTTGGTACTTGTTAGGATCACTTATCGTTCACGTATTCATGCCCTGTGTGAAGCTGCATGGGCTGCATGTTCTAGAGGCTAATGCTATCTTACACCACCAATGCATCTTCCACAGAAATATGCCTTGAGTTACAGATTATTATCTGAACTCGTGTAGGTAGGTCATTTGTTTAAAGGGCATTTTCTGAATAGGCCAGTTGTAGCAGCACATCACCTTCTCAATCAGAAAGACCTGAATTTCACAAAAATATGAAGTATACTTTTGTTTCAATCAACTGGGAGTGAGAAGATCCAAAATAAATAAGAAAATGGGGAAAAAAAAATATCTCCCCATTACAACGGTATCTTCCTTTAAAAAAGGAGAAAAATGAGATTTTTTTGGCCCGACTCAGCTATTTCAGGCTTCACTAGAACACATGATTTTCTATTATGGAAGGGAAGCATCAGTGCAAAATGCCCTAAGGAACATGAATGTCAAAGATGAGGTGGGGGGATCATGTCAAGAGTGCTCTGAACAAAGTTTGTGCAGAGCAAGTGTTATGAGTATAGAAATATATACTAAGGTGTAAATACTTAAATTAAGGCTGACATACAGCTTCAGTACTCTCTGTACAAGTTGCTCTAAACAAAAAGATTTTTTCACCTGAAAAAAATCTTATTACTGCCCTATGCACAGAAGACACTGAGCCTCTTGGAGATTTCACTCTCCTGACAACTCTACTTTGGTGTATATACAGAAAGACATTTATCCACCATCCTGTAATCAAAACTGCTGTCTGACTTCACTGGGGGCCTGCATGGTTAGAGCAGAGTCCATGGAGGGGGAAAAGATGGTGACTATGGCAGCCGAAGGGACTCATTCACTGCTTCCTCACTGCCAGAAGGGCTTGTAGAGAACCTTGGGTGATATTTAAAACTATTTCAGCAGAGCACAAACCAACAATATAAACCTTAGCAACGCCCTTCAGAAGCGATCTGCACAAACCCCTGGAGATAACAGCCCTTATTAGAGCAGAAACATGCAAACTGTGTTCCCAACAACTGTTGTTTTCTTTTCATGGGCTTCTTAATTTTTTTAAGAGCTAAGCTGAGTTTCTGAACATGCATATCTCTTTACATAGAACCGAAATTTCAAATGCTCAGAACAAACACACAACACAGCAGATAAAAATGGGTTTAAACAATAAAGGTTAGGATAAACAGAATTCCATGTCATGTGCTTGGTCTCAAAAATGAGGGAAATCCACTGAGTATATTTGTCACAAAACTGAGCTAAGAAAGATAGTTGTCTACGGACTTTTAACGTATCAAAACAAAACAGGGTGACTTAAGGACAGTTTAAGCTTTATTTCTAGTCTCTAGCTTTTGTGGCTTTTACTCAGACTAATGTTATTTAAGCACAGTTTATGTTGGCATCTTAGTTCATTTGAAATGCTACATTTCAAAAGGGCTTGGGAAAATTATCCACCCTTCCAAAGAATATTCTGAAGCACTAACACCATAACACAGCCACTTATCTCTTAGACAGGTGAATTGCTCAGCCAGAGATCAGGTATTTATAACCAGGATCATGCCTGCTAGTGACTTCACTACCTCGTAAGGCTTACCAGCCTCAAAAGAACCACAGAACAGTCCAGGTTGGAAGGGACATGTGGTCCAACTTTTTGTGGGAAAGGGAGATTGAATGAGATTATCTAGCACTCTGTAATCACCTTCACAAGACAGAAGTGGCAAGTCATTAAAACTCTGTCACTGCCAATACGAACTCCTACTAAAGTACACCAAGCCAGATGCCAGAATTCCATAAAACACAAATTTAGGACACTGAACCTTGCTGGTTTTCACCTTGGTCCCCCGACCCAAAAGGAAATAGTTGCGGGGAGGAAGCCAGTGATACCCTACGTAAGACACATGCAGCCACAACTGAAATACCTTCAGCTGGGTCCTTCACATTTTCTGCATTTTACCTGTGGTCCATAGGGAAACTGTTGTCTTGAATAGACTGGGATGGAGGGAGATGGGCAGGGAAAACCCGGTCAGGTTTAGGAGTCTTAGCTGAGTTTGGGGAGGCATGGTGCAGTGGTGACACAGGAGTGCTGGATGGTGTCGGTGGGTTGGAGGGCCTCATTCCCACTTGTGGCTTCTGATCATAGGCACTATCAGTAAGGCAAGGGGAAAAAAGGTCAGAAAAAAAAAAAAACAAAACAGCATCTACATCCAGGAAAAAAAACTCGTGTCACATTTATGTGCTTTTTACTACAGTTACCCTATTAACCAGTTTGAGGTAGAGGAATTCTCTACTTCACATTGCGAAGAGCACAGAAAAAATCATGTTAGAGGTAAGTCAGCCAACAGAATTTTCTTCACCGGGTCACACAAATGTATTTTAAAGGATCCTGTCTTACAGTGACATTCTAACCGAAGGCATACAAAATATATAAAAGTAGAAGCACCTGGACTAGAGTACTAAGAGCCAGTAGTGCCTGTCAAGACTCTTTTTTAGAGCTTGCAGAAACCACGAAGTGAAACAGTAAAACTATACAGCTAGAGGGAAGGGATCTGACCCAGAAAAACAATAGATGTTGACTTAGCTACCACACACTAGGGTATCAGCAGCCTCTCCTGACAGGTTCCTCCCCATCAAAAATAAAGTACTAGTCCTACAAATACATAGATGCTGTTTTCAAAGGTATCCCAAATTAGGAAAAGAATTGAGCATGCTTTGATCATTTCCCTTTCTAACAGAAAAATGCAGACATTAGGCAGATACATAGGCAAGCACAAACTCGCATACTTTCCTATGTTAGGTCCCGTAGTACCCAAATGCACCAATATATGCATTTGATTTTTTAAATCAAAATCTCTCCTCTATGACTGGCAAAGGTGACAGTCTTTTTTTTTTTTTTTTAAATCTAAACGCTGCAAGTGCTGACAGTTTGGGTAGTACATTAATGAGAATAAAAACTCACAAGCTAGCTAAAAGATTCTAAAATAGACTGAAACATCAGTAAGAAATCCTTCATTGCTAATGCTGAAGGAAGGAGTGACACATAGGTGCAAACCTAAAGAAAGTCAATAAAGAATGCAGTAATATCCAGCCCCTCCACCCCCACAAATAAATAAAGTTTTTATTATCTATCCCTACAAAATAAGACAAGTTGCTTTTGATTAGGTAACAACGATGCAAAGCCTTATGAAACACTATTTTAAATTGTAAGCACCCATGAATACACACGTGGAACACCTGCAAAACGTGTCAAATACCTAACATGTTGCTCAGACCTGCCAACCTCTTGCCTGTTACACAGAACTCTCTCTCCTCCCTAGTGTGTGTAATGCATTCTGAAAGCACTTTCAACACAACTCACAGAAAACAAGACACTCCTTCCTTCTATTTCACGCTTGCACCCTGTGTTTTTAAACTCTCGCTATCTATCTCCCATGGAGAAGGAATGGAGAATATGCATTTTGATGAAAAACACTGCTTTAAAATGGTTAATGTGTTTGATACAACTGTAAACAACTCCATCAGTGTTCATCAGTTAAATCCATTATCTCATCAGCCTGTTATCTGCTGCAGAGGTAACTTTTATAAGATCTCTATTATGGTTTTATTACTCTTTAGTCAGTCCTCATTTAAATCAGCAGTTCTCACTCCAAACATGCTCCTGATTGCTTTACCTGACATTGTACAGGCACTTTTCCCCATAACTGAACTTGAATGGTTGCTCTTGGCTGCAAGTGGAGCCAAGTTCTGAACATGGGCTATGGGGTTCTTTCTTGATTTTCACAGGGAGACCATGGAAAGCCACTGTAAAGAGAAACAAGACATAATTAAAACCCAAGTACAATATGAACAATGAGCTTTCTCAAGTAAGCCTGACACTGCTAATTAAACGCATGATTAATTAAACAATTGTAATACTAAATACAATATAAGAAATAAACATTTCAAATATTTCTTTGGACGTCAGATGAAAAATAGACACCAGAGAACCTTTGCACTGGCTATTAGCACTTCTATTGTTTAATAGGACGATGGCCAGGATCCCATCTCATTAGTGGGAAAATAACAGACCACTTATATTTGGCTTAACTACTGTAAATGTTGTCTGAGGCAAAATACTTCCCAGGCACCAAATGTTTCTAAGTAATATCAGTGAGGTAGCTTTTAGCTATAAATGCAATAGTAGTTCACTTCAAAGAGTGCCACACAAATTACTCCAAACAAATTTCTCAGGTATCAGCCTCAGGTATATAATCAGTAAATTTCTGTCCCACAGAATGCGTGAAAATTTGCAGTGAAATTTATGAAACTGAATGACTACATGCACCTTTAGTTATAAGGAAGATCTGAAAAAAATATACAAGAAATGGCTTCAATTTTTCTCAAAAATACACAGGACAAAATCCTGGCCTCACCAAAGTCAATAATAAATGTGATACAGACACAGATCAAGGGAAAAAAAAAATAAACACACTTTTTCAAAAGGTAAAAAGAATGGAAGGCGAGTGACAGAAATGCAACATTAATTGCACAAGCTGCAATTAATGTACAAGCTGGTCTGGATTAAGAAAAAGGCCAAAGGTAAAGACAAGGTTAATCAGCATATTTGTTTAAGGCAGCCAACTTTCCGTATTTCATAGCCAGCTTTAACCAAAATTAAAGCAGAAGAAAATTCAAAGTTTAACTTTGAAAGTAAGTGGCTAGGAGGGCAAAGGATCAAAGGACAGGTATTTAACAGCCTGAAAACACATCCTTCAAGTTCTAAATAACATGAAGTTTTAAAGACATTTTCAAACTCTGAGAAGCCTAGACTCTGGAGATCAATTTTATCACAAATTTTTGACACTGTCACCGAAACACCGTAGTTTGAACACCACGATGACAGTGCAGTGTGATAGAGACACTTGCACCTCCATGGAAATCCATGCATATGCAGCAGTCCCTGCAGCACAATGCCAGGCCATTATTATATACCACCAAGTAAGTAGCCTCTTGTCCCTTCCCTCACACCCGAACTTAGAAAAGACCATTTCTTACACACAATGTATTGTCTGATACTAATGCACCTGTGTCCACTCATGTTAGGTGGGGAGGTAAATGAAATGCTGACTAGGAAGCAAGCATCAGAACCAATAAATTCTGATTTACAGGTATCTGTGAATAAGATTTGGACTCCAGATTCTCACCACGGTTGGGCAACACTCAGAGAACTCTTTCACAAACGGGTCCTTTTGTGCTCTCATTCATGACAATTTCTACTATGCCTTTCAGCTGAGGCATCTGCAAGATACCACTGTTATTTTGCCACCTACTTTCACAAAACTCACAAGAACTGCTATCCAGCTACTATATTTGGTGGATAATAGTCAATTATCTGGAAAGATTACAAAGGAAAAGCAGACAGCAAAGCACGTACACACATAAGCACAGCAAAATATCTTTAGAAGCAGAGATGAAAAGTGGTGAATGTCACAACAAGGAAAAAGCTTGTTCCGCATAAAACTCTCCAAACTTACGCTAAAATAAAAGATCATAGCAACTTCTTGAATAAAGATTTTCAAATTTAATAATAGGGCAAAAGGCAGCCCAGTCAGCTTTCCACCATCACCACAAAGCAGGCTGACACCCAGTAGTCTGCTTGCGTTTTTTTGCCAGTGAACTTCAACTGCTGACTCTCCTTGCGTGTCCTTGTCAGATAACGCACACTGCACATTTCATGTGTATGATGGGCCCCACAAGTCCAGCAGGGTGGCTCCACGCAAAGGTAGGCAATCTCTTTGCCTTGAATCAGAGCATTAAAACACAACCACAACAAGACTCTTTTTTTAAAGCCAGTATCACATATTTGCACAAAGACCACATGCTGCTCTATTTTTTTTTATTTTAACTTTGCTACTTCCTTGGAGTTAATCTGTTATGAAAAATTACTTCCCTTATTTATTTTTAAATAACGGGAGTACAGAGACTCCCCCAGCACAGCCCTGTGCGGAGAACTGGCTGGGTATTTCATCACAGCGCCGAGAGCCTGAACGTCTGCTAACAGGCAGTTTTCCAGCTCACTGGCACAGGCACAAGTGAAAGCAGCACATTCATTTTGTGCAATTTGCTTTACCTTCCCACATGGAGTTGGTGCATGTAAAAGGCTGTTAAGTACTAAATTATTCCTTATCAAATCACCATCATCTGGAGTCATGATCAACACTAATTAAATTACTTTCACTGAACACGGCTCTAGCCTGCTGCCTCGGCTGTGAGGTACATTTTATTTTGCTTACTGTACAGTCCTAGGCAAGGTACAGGGCACAGTGCTAGAAGGCACCTCTGCCATAGTTTTAATTAAAGTTTACCTCACCTTCCCCCCAGCTTTATAAGCTAGGGTAAAATGTATCAAATCAAGTAAGTTAACACCTTCATTTCATTTAGGGAAAGCGTTACAGTACAAAGTGATTTTATATTAGATCTTTATCTTAACTATGGCCAGAAAGATAATGTAGCTGTAAAATTTTAAACATTCCTCGGGCAGTCCACTGACAGTCACCATGCTAAGCTTTACCTCTAACTCCTTAAGTGTATGCTTTTAGAGGCAGAAAGGAAAAAAGACAGCCTGAGAAAAATACTTACTGCATTTTTGGGGGACTTTCTTGAAGGCTACTTGACCTTTCAAGCCACATCTTAAGTGTGGCTGAAGATGACAGACTTATCCCAACAGTAAAATTTCAAACATTCAAGACAGTTCTTGTATCACCACTGAAACTTTCCATCTGTCACTCTTGATTTTAGCTTGACACTCATTTTATATTGCACCTATTAAAACAGATTTTAAACATACACCGGTTTGCTAAGCTGAATTTTATATTATGTTTTCAATCCATTTTCTGTTGAGGAGAGAAAGGTTGCTTATTTATACAATCTAATTTTAGTGCAGCACACCACGCTACCAACACATACAAATTAACAAAATGACATTTCAAACAACCAGCTCCTCACCACTTCTTTCTTCCTGATAGAAAACTCATTTTACTTAACCCCAGAACGGAGTCTCAACCCTATTAAAGTAACGGGCACCCTGCCTTAATAACGATCTTATTAAGAAGTGACCAAGGGCCAAGATTTCAACCTGAATGATTACTTACAGATAACTACCTTTGAACTTGAAAGACAATCTTACAACGTGTATTTAGATGGATGGCTTCAACACCTCATCTCAACTAGTGGGGAAAGTCAGGCTTATCGGTATCAGAACAGACTCAACCTGCAGACCCTGTCTGGAGCTCCTCCAAAGCCACCATACAGATATATGGCAGGCAGGACTGCTACCACCTGTAGCAAATTGACTACGGTATGATGTTACTGTATGTATATTCTCTGTGCATAAATATACCTGTCCAGATCTGCAGAGTAAGAGAGCTTGAACGTTATACATAATGTGCTGTTGTACAAACGTGGGTTTTACACAAAATGATGATTTCACCACAAAATAAACTCACAAAAACACAGGGTGAAACCTGCTGCCCTTATTTTGAAGTGCTGTTCTCCTCTGCAGTCAACAGCCTAATCCCCAAATGTATTTTTCATAATAACACTCAGTTTAAGATTCAAATGAAAACAATTTTATTAAGAACTCTGAAATTAAAGGAGGAATCAGCTTGTCTCAGAGGAGACTGACTTGTATATTTTTTAGCCTAAGGAACAGGAAATGTACTGCCTCTGTACAGGTAGAACTGAATCAATTCTTTTCAGAAAGTCGCAGAATTGCACTGCATCAAAAATAAAAGCGATGATTTAAAATATTTTTCAATTCAAGAGACAATTATTCAAAATGAAGAAGAAATGAAGAATATTTTACATGAAATTTGCAAGTCATTTCTCCTTTGAGCAAAGTTATTTTATAATTTTCAAACCTTAAATTCCTGGCCAGAACACAAAATATTTTTTTTTTTTCTGAAGAAGAAGAACTGATTTAAACATATTTTTTAAAGGCATGAAATATTACTAGTAATTCAATGCCGTTGGCTAACAGCAGGCAATCTTGACTCCAGTGACCAAAGAGAAAGATGCCTTATTATCAACACTTGCAGGGCAAGAGTGTTTACTATATGGTATACAAACAACAGACAGCAGAAACTTTGTGCTGGTGAACTCTGACGTCTCCCAAGCCCACTACACTCGTGTGTTAAATTCGAGGACCTTGTGTACCACCAGAAAAAATGGAAGGAATCAGCAAGTCACAGTAACTCATGCCCTAAATATTTCTGCTGCCTGTTTCTGAACAGCTTTTCACATTTATGCTCCCAAATCACTCTCTAAACTCGATTTACTAAATTAATTTATTTTTATGATTGATAAGAGGCAAAACTATTAACAGTTTTGCAATGTAAGTTTAGAGAGATTTCTTGAATGCATTTGAATTTCTCAAAAGCAAGATGAAAAGATGTAAAAATCTTGAAGTTAATACCACTACAACTCCAGGTGCTAGACTGATTGAAGCGACCCAAGTTAGTACTTGGTAACATTTCAAAAGCAAGAAGAGAAGGCCCCTGTACTGATAAAGCAAATACTGTCACACTTTAAATCTCTCTCCCAACATGCACACAGAGAAATGCAGCAGGCACTTCAGATACACCAGTCTCTCCAAGATTCTTTTCCAGTACATTTACCTCTGCCAAGCCCTCCCCTTCCCCCAACACACAAAAATCCATTACTAAAGGGCCTAATCTCAGCTATCAGTAGAGAGTGCCTTTTATGGAGCCATTAAACCATTTCTCTTGTTTACAGTGCCTGAAGAAAGATGTGAATTATGTCTG